GTTTTGCGATACTTTTAACACAAAACCATGTGATAACGTGGGAATCACAAAACACCCGCTATCGCAAAAATTCAGTAAAAGTATCACAAAACGGATTTCAGTGGTCGGGACCGACCAACCTAACTCGAAACACTCACGTGTACGGCCGCGGGTGAAAAACAGTATCACATTTTTCATCATATTTTTGAACAAAATGCAAAACGTCCACAAATGTGCCAAAAAGTGGCAGTCACTATAAGGGTGCAAAACTTTCACTGTAAAAATAATTTGTTGTAAATTTACAACACATTCGATGAAAAGTTTGATAGCAACAAATGTTGTTAAAAAGCAACACTTGTGGTAGTCCAAAAACGCCAAATTTTCTGAAACAAATTTTCATATTAACACAGTGGTTATTTACTTCCACCTGCACAAAAAATTTGTAATAACACAAACTTGTTCATTCTGGAACAATACATCTTGCTATCAAAATTTACAAAGGTTTCGTTGTAGTGTTACTACATGGTGAAAAGTAGGAATCACTGTTTTGGACCACTACGGGCAAAATAGAAAGAATTTTGCCACGTGTCGATGGAAACGAATGATGTTGTTTTTTAACCAACCAGTTATTACAAAGAGTGTGATAATGTGACAACTTTTTTTAACAGTGATTGCCAGTCAAAGAAGGGACTGCCAACATTTTTGGTAAGCAACGCGTCCACAATATTTGGAGTGTTGCAACCCACGTCAACGCAGAGGCATAGCCGCACAGAGGCACAGCAGGCAGAGGCGAGTGATGGGCGGCTCTCCTGTGCAAAAGCGAAGAAAAAATAGCGTGGTAGGCAACCCATCGTACACCGGGGCGAAAATGATGACAACGTAGGCGGCCCATGAGCCGAAGTAGGCGGGCGACACCGTGTGAAAATAAAATTAAAATTAATTCGTCGACGATGCGTTTTAATCTGCGAGTGTGCGCGTGTGTGCGCTCGATGCATCATACTGTCTAACGGCAGAAATAACGCATCAACAGGCGCGTTATTTTGGACACTCCCCCCCGTGGTTGAAAGAGTGACATGGCCATGTCACTGTGCCAGTCATAATTACTTTTAGTTTATTATCTCTTTTTACACCCATTTTGATGCGCATGTGGCTAGCTTGAAAGGCGGTATATTAGAATCAAGAGTTTTTCTTTCCTCCGCAGAAACCCATGTGGAGCGTGGAGTACATAGACAGGTCGTGTGACGAGCCTGCAGTACAACAGACAAGAAGGAGACCTAATGCCCCAAACAGTTCATCGCCCCTCCCGGCTTGTCAGCCGTGTCTTCTCCAAAGACGTCCGAAATCACATGATGCCCCCATACTCCCACCTCACACACGAGCGCTCCGTGCAGGGTGGGACGGGGTCACCAGGTCACCCACGACACAGAGAGTCAGCCATAAAAGTGAAAATTTTATCACTCTGACACACCACCAACGGTGCTGGCATGCATATGGCTGTTGCGGGACGGATCCACCTGGATGGGGTGGGGGTAGGAGTGGGATTGGGGTGGGGGTTGAGGGGGGGGGGCTGAAACTGAGTACAGGACGGGGAGACGGGAGGGGGAGCAGGTAACACGCCCACGTACTTCCTGCACTTCCGTTCGACTTTACCAGCAACAATTTCCAAACTGTGGGGAGAAACACAGGATAAAAGACACGTAGCCAAGTGGGGGTAAGTTGAACGGAAAACTGTCTGGTTCCTCATACTATTCGGTTTCGACCCATTGCCACGGCAGATTGGAGCAGAGTACAGGGGGGAAGTGGGTAAGGTGAAGTTGATAGTTGATGATATGAGGGACATAAAAATAGGACCATCGAAAGTGTACAAGGACACTTTCAACATCCGAACAGTTTTTTCGAGTCTCTGCATGAGGGGCTGATTTCTAATGCCTCTAAAAAGGCGCTATAAAGAAGTGGCTTTGCTTTTCCAGTGATGGGTGAGATAGGATGGGGGGTAAGGAAGGGAAGGGCGAAGTGGGTTGGGGTGAGGGGGGAGGGCGTAAGCGCAGCGCGCACTGACGCTGCTGGCTAATCAAACGAGCGGAACAGGTCGTCACCAATAATTGATCAGGCCCGGCTGCTGCTGTCCCCCCACCCCCTTATCAACCAGTCGCTGCGCTCAGCCCCGTCGGCAGCAGCGGCGATTTTTGCGCACGCTTGTCATTAAGGCGCCGCGACGAAATGGTGATGAAGCGAGTGGGAGAGAGGTGGGGGGGGGGGG